TCAGAAAATAACCTTCTAATGCCTCTCTAGCTGCTCCTCCAACATATTTCTGGAGGAAGAATATTTTCTCTGAGCTTGGAATGTTTTTCCTTTCGATAAGAGTCTGGAAGGATGACTTCCAATGATTAAACTTGAGTGGATCACCACTAAAAACTGTGGGCTCTGGAATGGGTAGCCTATTTGCTGATATAGCCTCAGCTAAGACCTTTACAAGCTCTCCTGTGCTATCTTGACGCACATGTGTTGGCACTGCATCCCTTGGTGGTTGTGAGTGCTGGTCCTCAGACTTCACCTGATTGAATGGCTGCATAACCTTATGTAGGTCCAGGCTCTGTGGAGCATTCCCTTGGGCTGGACTGAGCTCATTCTCGTGGTACACTTGAAGCCTTGCTTTGGCTGCATTCAGCCTTTTCAAATTCTCCAAACGCTCAAGTTCTCTCTTTAGGTTTTCTACAGACCTTCTTCTTGCAGCATTCTCTTCTTGCTGTTTCCTTAAGAGAGCAGCCTCTTGTTTCTCTCTTTCTAGCTTACGTTCAGTTTCTTCCCTCTCTCCTTCAAGACGACGAGCTAATGCGGCTGCTTCTTGGTCTGCAATGATCAACCCCTCTTCAGCTTCAAGGTTTTGCAGTTTCTCTTGGTGCCCCTCTTGTTCAGCCATAATCTGCAGTACAGCCTGTGTAGCTGCATACTCGGCAGCAGCTTCTTGTCTTCTAAGTGAAGATACATTTGAATGAACAGAAGAAGCTTTAGAACCATTAGAGGCAGGAAGTGAAACACTGGAAGCTAAGGATGAGAATACAGAACTATGATCTGGCCAAATCAACTCCTCAGCCTTTCCCTGCATTTCAGATTGAGCATTTTGTACTACAGTCTTAGTGATCGAGATGCAGTTATCCATCTTGCGACGCATGTCATGGGCTGGTTGATCAATTCTTCGGTAATCATCATAAGCAATGTTCAACTCAGATAATTCCCTTTGAATACTGGTGATGTGTTCTTGTAGGATATCACTAGGATCCCGTTTTAACACAGATCTTTTAGCTACCTTAATCAGAGCTTTCCATCGTTCATATTTGCTGTCAAAGCGAAGCAATAGCCCCTTTATTTGCTCCTTCTGAAACTCCTTTCCCTTTTCTGTTAATGTCCGGGCTCTTTCACTTCTACGAGGCTCTTCAGGTGGTGCTATATTTTGCCTGATATTTGATTCATCTGTCTGCTCTAACTCTGTCTCTTCTTCCAGAGCAGCTGCTGCACTCTGAGCTTCTTTACTTGTATGTGACATTTTGATTACTTGTACACATGGCAGCATACAAGAGCAAGTTGCAACAATATTTGCCAATACTGAAAGAATGAACTTAACTAAATGAAGTCACTCTGCTTCAAATTAGCCTATACATGTAGAAAATTACAGAGTAAGTACACTTAACGGAGTTCTTATTATAACCTTGTCACACACTGAACTTGTAAAAGACACTGAACCATAAATACAAACTGTGAATTTCTATCAAAATATACAAAGTTTACTTCTGCCCCTTAAGAGCCAACTATAATTATTCAAATGAACATGAATTTAAATCTCTCGCGTAAATGCACATTCATATACGTGAAACACCGTGGCTGCCAGGCTATACACAATTCCTTATGGTTTCCAACTCTTGTGTCACTTTTCAGACCAAAAACCTTAGAGTCTGACCTTTAGACTTCTTCATGAAACCATTATGAACCTGTGTGTCCTAAACAGTGACTTATCTGTGTTCCCGTGATGAGCTGTCGTATTCGCGCTGATACGGCGTGTTTGGGCAGGTCCGAGTTTGACTATCACTCCCTCCGGTTTATACACGAAACCACGATTCTTCATTCACTGATGGATTTATTCCTCCGTCACACTTCTCCTCCGAAACACCATGAAATCCACCGTCAAACTCGCTGGCTGCACGTAACCGTGAGAGAATGAGTCCGCTTCAGAAACAAAACTTAACAAATAATTCCC